AGCAAACTCCAAATGACTCCAGCATACCTAACTAAGTGTTGGTTGGACCTCAATTCATTCCCTTAAAAATGCAAGACCGCCAAGTGTTGGTGGTGTAGTGGTTAGAGCATCCGCCCAAAGAGCGCCTTGGAGAACAGAAGGTCGCAGGTTCGATCCCTGGCCGCGACATACCAAAAGACGTTAAAATGTGGTACTTTTGGTCCCTGCCTGGCGCTCGGCATTTATGGGTACAACAAGGACTGGTCGGCTCGGAGTCAGTATACTGTGTCTGAGTGGGGTATTCATGCTTAACTGCGGCATGGTATCTCAGTGAGCTAGCACTTATTATAAAACCAGCTTAAGTCTGGACAAGCAGCGGCACATACACATACACACGCATGCACGTTGTCATATGAGCGAAATATTCTCAAGTACGAAGTTAAACCCCATTTCACCTCACCCTTTGATGCTTTAACAACAAATATCGTCATGCCAGCATCATTCTGTGTATGTTGTCCTGACCTTGACCTTGATGTAGGGTCTGTAGTTTAACTGGGAGCATACATGTGGCCTGTCTTACACATACACATAAGGAAATATGATATGGACTCCAGCAGTAAAAAGGAAAAATTAAGAAACAAATGTTTTGAAAATATTGTTTAGTTAGTGCTCAAGTCCTTTAGCTGTACATCCATAAGTGTGTGGCTCATGAGGATTGCTCCCAAGTGTGGCTCCAGAGAGGGTGTGTGTGTGTTGAGAAGCATTGGTTGCAAAGGGTGACTTTTTCAACATTGTTAGATCTGTGATCTGATCTTGATAATGGGAAAGTACTCCATGCCCATACTAGAGGTTTTGTATGTTCTGATCAGGCACCTTGTCACCATGTGTAATCACAATGGAACTGTTGAAGCCAGACACTCTGCTTTTGAATCCAGACACCCTGCTTTCAAGTGTAGACACCCTGCTTTCAAGTCCAGACACCCTACCTTCAAGTGAAGACACCCTGCTTTCAAGTCCAGACACCCTACCTTAAAGTCCAGACACCCTGCTTTAGAGTCTAGGCACCCTGCTTCAAGTTTGGGCAGCCTGTCTTCAAGTCCAGACACTCTGCTACAAGTCGATACATCATGCTTTAGAGTACAGACACCCTGCTTTAGAGTACAGACACCCTGATTTCAAGTGTAGACCCCCTGCTTTCAAGTCCAGACGCCCTACCTTCAAGTGTAGACAGCCTGCTTTAGAGTCCAGGCACCCTGCTTCAAGATTGGATACCCTGCCTTCAGGTCCAGACACCCTGCTTTAGAGTACAGACACCCTGACTTCAAGTGTAAACACCCTGCTTTAGAGTCTAGGCACCCTGCTTCAAGTTTGGACAGCCTGTCTTCAAGTCCAGACACCCTGCTACAAGTCGATACATCATGCTTTAGAGTACAGACACCCTGCTTTAGAGTACAGACGCCCTGCCTTCAAGACCAGACCCCCTGCCTTCAAGACCAGACCCCTGCTTTCAAGTCCAGACCCCCTGCCTTCAAAACCATACCCCCTGCCTTCAAGACCAGACACTGCCATTAAGATTAACATCATGAATGAAAGGCTCTAAATCTAGCTAAAAACATTATTACTGATCCCTCTCATGTGTTACATTGTTGAATAACTATTAATGTCTTCCATTTTCATGCTTTTGTTCACTTGTAGGTAATTATGATCACGTTTTTATGTATTTATTTGATATACATGTATTTATGCTCACTCAGATGTGTGACAAATTCCCTCACAGCAATAAAGAATTATCTTATCTTATCTTATGATGACTGTGTGGAAATTAATACTTGTCTTCTGCCCTATTGGAAGAATTTTGCTGTACAAGTTTAGATGAATTAGTGGATGTCATAGTCAGCTGAATTCTCAGAAACCATGCAGTCAAAATACAATGGAACGTCTTAATGAAATATGCTTCATAAAAAGATGTTTTTGATTATTGTATTTTTTGGACTGTGATCGATCTTCATGTCAAGGCTCTCTGGCAAGATCAGAAGCGTGAACCCTTTTGGAAAGTGCTTGTGCAAGAGTTGCCTGATGCAGCCAGGCTAGTCATTTATTCATGTCGTCCCAGACATAGCGTGTGTTTGCTGGGTGTGTATACGTGGGACTGAGACAATGTGGTGAGATTCTGATGCACCTCGTCAGTAATGCAGGATGGGTATATGTGTGGGCCGAAATCTTCCATGGAGCGTTATGAGATTACAACGCTAAAACAAGAACAAATTATTTGATGTAATTGGAGTTTGACACGGTGTAATGTTGACTGTCGGGCAAGTAGTAGTTGAAATGACTATTTTTGTACCAGAAACGATTTGGATGTGGTAGAAAAGATCAGAATCTCATTTTCTTAATAAGACAATATGTCTGGAAATTTCTGGTACTTACTGCTTATAAGGCATTACCACTATTTTCTCTGTTTAGCCAAATTTGGTGGTTAGTTTGCCAAGATGTAAAGAATAATAATTTTAGAAAGTGTTAGTTTTGATTTGAAACTGTGGACTTGAAATAGAATCATGAAGTACTGTCTTGATTGATCATTGATGATGGCTGCTTGTGAGTTTATACTGTAGAAGTCATACTGGCAGTAAGGAGTATTACAGTATTCACAAAAATTACAAGTGCTCTTTTTAAGAAATAATCCATTTTTCCAGCAATGAACATCATAACTGTGTTTTGATCACATGGTTACGATATTTCAGAATTCAACTTTGAGTGGTGAGGACTATAATTCCTGAAAACGTTTTTAAAAATGGAGCCATCAAAAAAGTTGAAATGAAATATATATGAAATATATTTTTGATAAATAACTCGAAAATTGTTAGATTGCAGATTTATGCCACTCTCATGTATAAAACAAGCAGAAACTAATCTGGTATTACTATTTCTGTCTGAAAGATGAAACATTTCTGTCTTCTTCCTATTACTGAATGCTGTGAACAATTCTGACATTGTTTGGAAATACAAAGGAAATGGGCTGATCTATAGAAGTTGGACTGAGTTTTGTTTACTCTTTTAGAAATAGTCTAATGATTTCAACACCTGCTTTCAGGGAGCTTCATGGTCCTCAATTGAATTATTTGTAGGGTCTTGTGATTTTGTTGATCTGTCAATTACAAGGAAGTAGCTCAACGGAACGGTAAATTAACAGAGATGTGAAAGCGCAGGAGTGCTAACACGAGTCTGTATCTGGTACATGTTGTTTGTTGAGTGGGGCAGGACAACCCTTGGAAGGGGAGGGTAATGGCTATCAGTCTATTTGGAGCAGGTTTTCAACCTAGCGAACATATTCCTAGGAGTGTTCGGTAGACCTCTAACTACAAATCTATATGGTGGATCTGAGTATACATGTTGAATCAGGATAAAGACGTAATGCGCAGGTTGATGTTTTGAGTGGAGACAGAGCTGACGTTTTGACAGTTCAGCAGTTTTCTGACAGATTTTGTGAGAATGTTATCTTGTACTGTTTACCTTGATCTATGTTTATCTTGTACTGTTCTATGCTGAATGGCTGTCTGAAATGTTTTGAAAGAAATTGATTCACTAGGACTTTATTTGACATATTACAGCTTCTGGAATGAAAGAGAAGTTATTTTTGCAAATGTTATAAAAGGAATTTGCTGGTAATCATGCTAGTTTGGAGGGTTTCTGCTGTAGTTTGTTTGTTGCTTCATGCCATTCTCAGAAATATTCAAGCTTTATCAGGGTTCTGTGTAAATAATCTTGTAAGTAGTCTGGACCAGATAACCACCTGATTGAAATCATTAAAGAAGAATAGAGATACAATGGCATGCACTATCCACCTCAATGAGCCTGACCTCCCAATCATTACACATTTCTAGCCCCTATATGACAACAAGACCATTCCTAGCCTGTTTCTTCACATGGGAATAGCATTGGTTGCTGAAAACCATTCCCAGGCTGTTTCTTCACATGGGAAAGGTGCTGTAGACCACTCCTAGCCCGTTTCTTCACGTGGGAATAGCATGGGGTGCTGAAAACCATTCCCAGCCTGTTTCTTCACATGGGAATAGCATTGGTTGCTGTAAACCATTCTAGCCTGTTTCTTCCAGCATTGGTTGTCTTCATGTGGGAATAGCATGGGGTGCTGAAGACCATTCCCTAGCCCGTTTCTTCACATGGGAATAGCATTGGTTGCTGAAAACCATTCCCAGCCTGTTTCTTCACATGGGAATAGCATTGGTTGCTGAAAACCATTCCCAGCCTGTTTCTTCACATGGGAATAGCATTGGTTGCTGTAAACCATTCCTAGCCTGTTTCTTCATGTGGGAATAGCATTGGTTGCTGAAAACCATTCCTAGCCTGTTTCTTCACATGGGAATAGCATTGGTTGCTGAAAACCATTCCCAGCCTGTTTCTTCACATGGGAATAGCATTGGTTGCTGAAAACCATTCCCAGCCTGTTTCTTCACATGGGAATAGCATTGGTTGCTGAAAACCATTCCCAGCCTGTTTCTTCACATGGGAATAGCATTGGTTGCTGAAAACCATTCCCAGCCTGTTTCTTCACATGGGAATAGCATTGGTTGCTGAAAACCATTTCTAACCTGTTTCTTCACATGGGAATAGCATTGGTTGCTGAAAACCATTTCTAACCTGTTTCTTCACATGGGAATAGCATTGGTTGCTGAAAACCATTTCTAACCTGTGTCATTACTTGGGAACAGCATGGGGTGCTGAATACCAATTTTATTTTAACACAGTTATTCACAGATCTCACCTTAACTCATTGGTGTGTTGTGAATTACATACAATTGTGACTCATAATCATAAAGAATTCACTCACTCTTTCACAGATCTCACCTTAACTCATTGGTGTGTTGTGAATTACATACAATTGTGACTCATAATCATAAAGAATATCACTCACTCAACTCACTCACTCAACTCACTCACTCACTCACTTCACCTATATATATCCATCCCAGAAAAAAGCACACACATAGTACCCATATGGGAAATTGAACTCAGGCCTGGGGCATGATGAGCGAACACTTTAACAATGTGGCTACCCGCTGATGACATGAGTGTGTGGTATGAGAGGGCTGTGGGGCGGCTAGTCGATGTGGGAGAAATAGTCAGTGAGGATGCTGTGAGTTTGGCAACAATATTGATACACTGTCAGTGTTAGCTCTGCCTCCTGTACACTGGGACAGGATCGGGACAAGTGTGGCCGTATTGATCATTCTGATTGGCTATGCCTACGACCATGAGGTTAGAAGGCTCGTCAACTGAGTCGGAAATTGAATTCTCAACGGGTTAATACCACTGTTGGTAAAATCTAAATGTGGATGATAAAATATTTAGTTCCTTCACTAGGGGTACTATTTAGGCGAATATTTCGCAACTGATTTGTTTGAGGTCTGTGTGGGCTTGCAGCACTGCACTGTTCATAGGTATCACAGGATTTCCTCGGCTGTCAAGATAACCGCTTCTGTCCAGAGACGGGGTACTCTTGCACCAACATGTGGCAACATTTTTTTGCAACAAAAGCCCTATCTAACTTCAAGTTTGAAAGAGCTGAAGCTGGTTATCATTTTCAATACTATGTAGTGTTAATATTTGGGTTACCAATTGTCTAGAGTTCAAGCCAAAATGATATTCATGAGACTAGGGCTTGAGATATTGGTTTAGTGTTTCCACAAAGAAACAAACTAATTTTTAGATGCCTTGAATCAGCCTGGCCTACTGGCTTGTCATATTTTACGATTTGCCCCTGTCACGTGTTTAAAGAGGCTTAGCAACCTACCACTGATGTTACAGTTGTTTATCCCTGGATGCTGTTTGAAACCAGTGTTACCAGATAGACCTGTGCCGTTATGCATTCGGTACACACCTGACACTGGAGACTGACAGCGGTGCATTACCTGATCAGATTGCAGTCATGTACTTGCCATATAGACACAGCTGTGTGCAGGGGACGCAGGAACAATTCAGGTTCGCTGGCGGGAACATTGCTACATTTATCTAGTCTGAATCGGTGGGGCCTTGGATCTTTGCCGACACAGAACGCTAGTTTAGGTTAGCGTTTCGATTTATAATTTTGTTTCACTCTAAGAAGGAGGACAATTTTACAATTTTTGGCCTCAATATTTTTTTAAGTCCACATGTCCAGTACATGAATGTGTGTTGCTAAAAAGTTTTCTGATAATTTCAAAAATATTCTTTTCCAAGAAAATTGCATCACCTCCTCTTCTCAGATAAGAGATTACAGTTTGGTGGTGGATTAGGTGATAAATTTGTTGAATCCTATGGGCAACTTTTGCAACGGCAAATGTTTGTACCTTTCCTACCATAACAGCCTTATCTGCTATGACAGTTAAATCTTTCAGTATTGTTATTGTTGTAGTGGGTTGGCCCAAAGGTTAGGGTATTGTTTAGTATTCCGAAGACCAGGTTCAATTCTAATGTTGGTACAATGTGTGAAGAGTTGCAGACCTTAGACATGCCAGGATTTGCTTCAGGTAGTGTAGGAATCTCAGACAGACTCTAATCCTTGGTTTACTAAACATGATTTGTGTTATTTTGAGGGTTCACTGTCCAGGTAAAGCCCACACGCTCAACTCACTAACTACATCAACATCGGGAATTTGGCAAACAATATGTTCCTACTTAAATTAGAGTGAATATTGAAAATGGTGTTTCATTTATTGATGTCAAGACATGTCAGTTTTATGAAGTTAAAGCATAATTGATACGGGTCATATCTATACATATGTTTCTCAAGGAAGACAAGTAATGATATTTAATTTATGATTTGGCAGTGTTTGGCTAACAGGCAGTGAATCTGTCAGTTGTATTGTCAGTTTTGACATTTACACACTGAACCCTCTCTTCAAACTCCAGGACATGTCAATCAGGTTCTGCTAGAGGCATCTGAAAACTGACACTCACCTAAATTGGTCTGTAGATAGCCCAAGTAGTGGTTGTGCTTGTCAGCTCTGATAGTGGGCAGTATACAAGCAGGTAAATTCACTGGAGATATTTGGATAGTACTTACAGGGGAGTTACTTAGATACATGACATGTTGCTACATGTTACTATCTTTTCCCTTTGTACATGGGTATAGGTAGGCCAGTGATGTGTGCAGTTGTCTCCCTTATGTATGTCAGGATCCTGTTACTATGTGTTTGAATCCCATGTTAGTCTGGACTTTAGTTTTCAATTTGCTAGAACCATACCATGCTTGTGGATTGGCAAGCTCAATTTTTAAGAGTCAGACATGCATCACTATTTTTTCCTTTAGCCTGTGTGAGTGAGTGAGTGAGTTTTGACAAAGAATGTGGCTTTTAGAATTCTTTGAGAACTTTTGTATTGATCATGATTTTGGAGAGGTTTGACAACTGATGACATGTCAAAGATGCTTTTGTGGTTAATCCTTTGCCATCAATGTATAAGTGATTATCATTAGAGGTGTCATTATTAAGATGTTTGACGAACGATGTTATTAAGATGTTTGACGAACGATGTTATTAAGTTGTTGGACAAACAATATTATTAAGATGTTTGACCAACGATGGTATTAAGATATTGGACAAACAAGGTTATTGAGATATTCGACAAATGATATAATTATTAACATATTTGACAAACAGCAGCATTATAAGGGATTAAAAAAATAATGAAAAGGGTTTCCTGCACTGTTTATTGGAAAGAAAAAACAGGGTCACATTTCACATGAAGTTGTTAGAATCAGTTGTTGAAATCACAGTCCTGCAGCACAGGATGAACTGTAAATCTTGATGCCCAGTTTGAACAATAAGCATCATTGGTACAAATGACCCCAGACTGTGTAGGCCGGGCAGTAAATAGTAGCTTTATGTCCGTTTAATGATGATTCAGGCTCAGGCCTATTTAACAGTGGCCATCAAATGTCCATCACAGCCAGTTTATGTATCTTAGTTACTTTGGTGGTACTGTACCAGAAGAAAGTTTAGTGTGTTGTGTTTAACACGAATCCTCCCTCCGCTGTCTGGATGCATGCAGTACCGACAGACAGGTTACACACCAGTATGTTGTATCATCTGTCGGCCATCTTGAATCGGTGTCATCTCTGAAAACATTTCTTTTTCAACACCTTTTTACATATTGATACCAGCATAGTTTTTTATGTTTTATAATGAAATCTTCTCCCAGGGGCGGTGGGGTGGCTTAGTGGCGAAATCATTTGCTCATTACGCCCGGGTTCGATTCCCCACATGGGTACCATGTGGGAAGCCCATTTCTCATTTCCTATGGTGTGATATTAGTGGAATATTGCTGAAAGTGGTATAAAACCTAACTCACTCACTTTTTGTATCAATCAAACTATAACTAATAATTGTCATATCTTTTGAGTGTATCTCTAGTGATATAATTTGTCAGATTCTTGGAAAAAAGTCTGTGGGGTGGTGACCATGGCAACAATCTGTTCATATTTCTTAAATATTTTTGGGCATCCGGTTGTTACTGAGAAAGACTTTGTAAGTACCTGCACCGAATGCGATACATGAAAAAAACAAAGAACCTCAGATTGAACCTCATATTCAGACACCAGGGTCAGCTTGCACAAAGTCTTTTATAACCTGCAGCACCCTCAATATTTACGCTTAGGCTGTGATATAAGTGAGATATTGCTCAAAGTTGTGTTAGATCAAGTTATCCTGGTTCTCCAAACGATGTGTCCTGCCCAGCCACCAGGGACGGCCTTTAATCAACTGTCAGTATTGGCAGTCAGGAGTTTAAGTTCAAGGTCTGGTCTGGAATTAACACCAGTGTATGCAGCTGAATCAGTCTGTAATGACCATATCTGCCCATGACAAGCAGCCATGACAGTCTCAGTTGCTGTCAGTGTTTGGGTCCGAATGGTGATTGATGGCAGTATGTGCAAGACCGGACTGACGTGACCACGCTCATGTTGGCTACACTGCCTTGTTGTGCATATACTGGTTTGTCTGGTTGGTATAAGGCCATAGATCGAGCTGGGTTTGAAAAGTCCAGCTGAATCGCTGCATGTCAGATAAATGTGGAAGAAAAGCTTACAGTGATGCAGGTCTCAGACATTACCGCTTCAGTGAAACCCGTGAGAAAGAGTATGGTTGTGACAGATTTAGAAACATAATCAAGCTGAAGTGGGATTTGAACCCATGGTCATCGGTTCCCGACATGCCCAAGGGACACAACTCTACATAGCAAAATCCATAGCCTCAAATGACCTGGTCACCCATGCTCCTCCAATGTCCAAGTTTTGATTGATTGTTGTTTAACACCACACTCAGCAATATTCCAGCTATGTGGCGGCGGTCTGTAAATAATCCAGTCTGGACCAGACAATCCAGTGATCAATAGCATGAGCACCGATCTATGCTATTGGGATGCGATGACATGTGTCAACCAAGTCAGCGAGCCTGACACCTGATCCTGTTAGTTGCCTTTAAATACAACAAGCATGGGTTGATGAAGACCAATTCTAACCCAGATCTTCACGGGTTTCCAATGCCCAAGAAAACTTTAACATGATCCTTCTTAAAACTGTACTACTGGGGATTTGCATTGCATGGAAAAAACATTTTGGCAAAGTTGAAATAAGTTCTTGGCACCTGAAAGCCTCACTCAGAAAAAAATATTTTGTTTTAACTAAAGTAAACTGGACAAACACATTGAAAATGAACATGTAAACATTGTAACTACACAAAGGCACAGAACATTTTTAAAATATGCTTGAAAATGGTACTATGACAGGATTAACTTCCTAAAGTACTACTACTTATTGTCCAGGTAGTGGCAGAATGAAATCCACCAATTTTAAAAATGAATCATACATACTCTTTTATTTTGGCACATTAAATTTCAGTAAATTCTACTTAAAAATACCAGTTGTATTAGGCCTTGTGTCTGTGATGTATACTCAAACACAAAAGTACCATGGATCATGTTTGTCTCATAAATCCCATGTTCATTGTCAGAAACTAAATATTTACTGTAAACTTTTGTT